ACACCATCAGAGAGTGCAGGCTTTTGTGGATGCCGCACGCGACGGGGGCGTTGGCGTAGTTGCAGGCGAGGTGCCGACCCATCCCACCGCCCTATTCATGCCGCCAACGCTCCTGATTGACCCCCCTACCAACAGTCGCGCATACCGCGAGGAGATCTTCGGACCTGTTCTGGCGGTCAAAACCTTTTCCACGGAGCAAGAGGCCATTGCGCTGGCCAACGATTCATCCTACGGACTTGCCGCTGCCGTCTTCACGTCCAGTATGCCGCGTGCTTTACGCGTTACCCGTGCTCTTCAAGTTGGCATGGTGGGAGTTAATAGTCCCGTCATGCCATTGACCCAGCTCCCATGGGGCGGATGCAAGGAGAGTGGTTACGGCCGCGAGGGAGGTTTGGCTGGTCTAGAAGAGTACTTGCAATCTAAGACGGTCCTGATCAGTATGAAGGACCCGCAGGCCAGCCCGGCCAAATAGATAGTCCGCAGCAGCGATGCTGTACACCCCGTAGCGCATAATACATCGCATTGGCACGCATGGCCGCCTCTATCCACATGAGCATAAAGGTTGTAGACCAGGAATACACCTTCTACTGTGTTTACAGGATGATATCACAAACACGCTGTCGCGCGTACAAAGACAAGTTCTACGACCAGACTTTGGTGTGCCTCGGAAGTTCCGCACGGAACCGGAACTTTCCGACGCATTTACGTGGGATTTGTTTGCGGAACTGCTTCCTTAGCACTGCAATCGCTTTGTATCGCTACACCCATTTATCGTTTGAACTCTATGAGCCCTGTACAGCTTCCTTTGAATTGAATCTTCAGAATGAAACGTTATTTGCCGATCCCTTTGCGAACAATATCATCGCCAATATTGTAGCACAATCAATACTACGGAACAGCCGGAAATGAGGAGCTACGAATCGCGTATATAGCAGACACAAGATGGCAAGAGCCCATTCCATCGCAAGGATGCTTCCGCAGCACTAACCTCTACATGATCCACGATCAAAGCCCGATTCACCCTGCTTTGCGCTCATCTGGGAAAATGATAAGCATCCTTTAGCCGACATCATGGATCCAAGAGCAGCACCTCCTTGAGTTCGCGACTGGTGTAGAACCCTATACCATCTCCCGTTCTTTGAACCGAATATACAATTCCGGTCGGTTGAGTGTCTGATACGATCTGAGAAGCTCGGTGGAGGGACTCAGACTCCACAACTGATTCTTTGTGCCCTTGACGCCCTCCGTCTCCAGCTCAAAGTCAAAAGCCCAGAGTAGATGCGCCACTATCAAACGAATCTCATAGTATGACAAGCTTTGGCCCATGCACTGTTTTGGTCCAGCTCCAAACGGTGTCGACGCGGACAACTTGTCATTCTCAAAAGCTGGGTCCCATCCCTGTTCGGGGTGGTTGCGCAACCATCGCTCGGGGTGGAATTCGTTTGGCAGATGGAAGTTGCTTTCAGACCGCACTGCTGCCCATGGAGCTACGGAGACTAGCGAACCCCCCGGAAGTATATGCGGACCGATTTGTGCACCCTTTGCTGGGACTGCACGAGGAAGATTTGAACTGACTGGTGGGAAGATGCGCAGCGCTTCTTTGATACACGCGTCGAGGTAGACCAATTCTTCCAACTTTTGCAGCGTGATGTCACTTGGATCCGCGAAGGTCGTGCGAATCATGGTAGCGAGACGTTTGTGAATCTCGCGATGGACGCAGAGATTGTACATGAAAGTAACGAGAAGAGTGGAAATGGTTTCGGAGCCCGCGGTGACAAGAAGTGTCATGTTGAGGAGGAGCTCTGTAGGTGCAAGAGTCTTTCGTGCGTCTTTGTTGCGCTGTATATGATAGATAACGTCCTTGTGAGAAGAGGTTTCGTCAGCAAGACCTTGGAAAATATTAGCTGACCTTGCCTTCACGGAAATCCTGTCATGACTTACGGTCGAAGGTTTTCTTCTTCGTGTTCATAAAGGTTGTCATCCTCCATTTCATCGCTTCCTTTGGCATGAGCTTTTGCGCCATCTGGTTGAGCCATGTACCGACTCCTGTGACTCTCCGAACGGCCATGTCCAGAGTTGAGGAGATGAGAACATTCGTAGTTGCCAGCGCCCATTCTGTTGCAACGCCCTCATCCAAGCAATGGAAAGACTCGCCAAAGCATAGGTCACCGATGATGTCGAATGTCGTAAAGGATACTGCATTCGATTAGATTATGTCACCATGCTCAGTGGGAAGAGAGCAGGAAGAGAGTCGTACACCAATCGCTCATGTTCAGAGCTTTACCATTCTTCCCTTGTGTCTTGACGGCGTGGATTAATTTGGCGGTCTGAACCTCCAATATTTCCTGTTGCGCCATGAGAGCGGGCTTCGTAAAGCCGACGGCCATTGCGCGTCGCTGTCTGGTATGCTCAGATCCTTTAGCGAGGCCAATGCCAACACAGCCATCGATTGGCTTTACAACACCGATAAAGAGAGGTGCTTTCTCCATCACGTCGCCATGCTAAACAGAATGATCAGCCGACATTACGACCAGTTCGTAGATAGTCCTGAATGAGCATACACGATTACCGTAGATCTGTTCCCAAGCATACGACTCGGTGAAGCTCAGTTCATCGGGAGATATCCGAACTACTGGTCCGTATCTCTGATGCAGTTTGTAGTTGTACAGGTGTTGGACGCCGCGGAAAGCTGCAATTGCGCTTGGGATACTCGATACGCTGTTAAACCAAGGTCCTGGGTACTTGCTTAGGCTATGCAACCACCGGCGATGCACAGCTTGTCCTAGGATGGGTATGAAGGTCTTGAGGCAAAATTCAGTATTTGTTTCGTATCTTAGAAACTGTCTAGCTCACCACCAGCAGAATACTCCATCCCGCAAAAGGGATATGGGAGAAGGTGCGTTCCATCTTTGTCGTTAATGCTACCAATACGTTCTGTCCAGAGATGCTCAAATGCACGGAATTGCCTGGAAATGCGCCAAAGAGCGTCAGCGGCAGATATACCACCTATATTGTGCTTTTGCTGACAAGATGCTGATAGCTTATCACGCTACGATGAATTGAACCGCGCCATGCCGGAGGAAACGAACTCAATGTTCAATACTGCATGGCAGCCTTGAAGATCTGGAAAATACCCCGCTGCTACGATTCGGGAGAGACATTGGTTTCGGGTCAATTCTTAGCTGCTCTAATCCCGGATAGAACGTAGACCATTGGTGAATGGCCGATGAAACGCTAGGGGACGAATTGGGTTATGGATCGAAACGACCATGTGCTACCAAGGTATCAGCATTGGCAACATGTACTCTGATATAAAGGCGGCGCGCCACGACATTACTATGATCACTCTCCATAACAGCCAAGATTATCTCGGATTATCCGAATTCTCTAGAGAGAAGTTTCTTTGACACCACCATGTCTACCTTTTTGACCAAAGTTTGGGCAAACGCCATAGGCTTCGGGATCGTTTGGACAGGGGTCGTGCTCTTCAGTGTACGTCCAGTATCATTCAACATTGAGAAAGGCTCTAATCAGAAAAACAGCGTCTCCGCTCTCAAGAGATCCAGAATTTCTTTCCCAAGCATGATCAGAAATGCGCTCCACAATCTGATGAATCAGTGAAGAACAAGGCCGTCGTCGTTCATGAGCGCTGGTACTACCCGCCCGACATCGCAAATGACTTGAAGGATATAGATCTTCCAGACCGGGTCAAACAGGAGATCTTTGCCACGGCTTGGGAATATACTCGTTGTGTCATTCCTGAATACACGAATTGGTCACGATATGTTGCGTTTATGCGCATCATCGTCATGGGAATCATCGCAGAATTTAAGGGTAGCCTTATGGACGTGGCCAACGACGATAATGTCGTGGGCTACAGTCTTACCGAGGTGTTAGATACATTGTGTGGAGGAACAGCAGGCCAGTATGTCACCGCTGTCAGGCAAATCCGATCTTTGAAGTCTCCTCACTAACACGCCCCTTCCAGTGCTGAGATGTGCCGCGAATACCGCTGCTTTTTGTTGATGTCGTCGCAAAAATCACGTCATCAGACAAACACCATGCTGTTTCGCCGTTACAGTGTTGCTCTTTCCAAGAGTCCCTGGCAATTCTTCCGCATGCGCGATACCGACGCGCTCGCTCGCTTCACCATTGGTGTTGCTCTGGTCTGCAATGACCTCGACCACATTTGGTTCACCAACGACCAATTCGACATCATGGCCGAAATCGGCAATACAATGTACGACGGTATATCATACTGGAAGCACCGTTCCGAGGGAGAAATCAACAGCACCTTCGCATATGTCCCAGAAACCAAGCGGGTAATGGCCTATCACAAGTGCCGCGAGGCGCTTTGGGCACTGGACGTAGCGTGGGCAAGACAGCCCGAGATGAAGTGTGTCATCAACTTCCTCCGCTACTTTGGCGGCCCAATTCACATGATTATGCGACGGTACCGCTTTGTGGAAGAGGGCCTTACCCTAGGCAGACCTGAGGACAAGCGCGTCATCGAGCAAACGAGGAAGCACGTCAAATTATGGAATAGGCTTGACGAGCAGAAGAAGACCAAGAAGCAGGAAACCGAGAGTCTCCAACAGTATCGCCACGTCCTCTCACGGGAGAAGATCCTGCTGTTTAACGGCCTCGGGGAAATGTTGGAAAAGGCTGACGAGGGCTTATGCTCCGAGTGCAGCTATCGAGAGACATACGGCGCGCCACAGGCTCATACTTTCGGAGGTGTTGTCCTATGTGCCGCACATAAGCAGGGCTGGGCGGACCATACGGAAAGTATACTTGAGCGCATGGTCAGAAGCTTTCCGGAGGCTGCCGAGACTGTTCGTATAAGTGAGATGCGAGCGACACGTTCAGCCGCGCCATAATTCATACTGGAAGCACCTCAAGAGAAGGAAAAATGATCGGATTCGAATACATGGGCGAGTGCTGGTGTTGCCAAGATTGTACTCAAGAATACGCGGAGTTGTGGGAGGATTGGAGTGCGGCAGTGGAAATGGAAGGGTCAAGCGAGACTGATATGTCATGGTACGCGGCTGTCTTCAGCATGTAACTTAGAAGGAATGGAATACTCTAGTTTCATTGTACGAAGGGGATCTTCAGTGAGCAATGTGTTGCTGATGCTAGCTGGAGAGCTCGTCTCCTCTTGTTTATGCCGAGCGATTCTAGCGCGATCATGCTTTGTTCAATACTACGGTCAGCTTTTCATCGTTCCCAACTCCGTACATGAATTTGATTGTGCCTTACCAGTAGTTTGTTCCGTGGAGATTATCGAACTACTTTCGCATTTAACTTTGGCGCACGTTCATGCGACACGTCAGAGCTAAAAGGCGTTAACAAGTTCCCTAGAGGAACCAGCAGTCTCATCGGGTTTGACGCGCGGGTACACAGGCAATTACATTGCTTTCATTTATTAGCAAGTAAATGACGGGATATTCCGGTACTGAAGAAGGGGCTACACGTAAAAGGATCAGCGGTGGTATTCTTGCCGTAGCACAGGAGCCTGGTGAAGTTGGGTGAAGAGCAAGGTTTCTCCTACTTAGCTTCTTTCGGTTAGCGAGCAATGTGGCATCCCGAGGACTCCTTCGATAGTCGCATGGGCAGCAGCGTTCGCGAGAGATATACTCTGTATGATGCGACGCGTATAAAGGCTGTGCACAACTTACTCACTCAAGTAACAGCGAGAGATCGCTTTCCCAGAAGCGCTGCGCCCCATCGCTTCCTCAAGCCTTTCAACTGCATTGCCTCACCTCCCCACAAGAAGTCATCATATTGGAGCGTATCCTTAGTGCAATCGCTCCAGCGTACTTTGAATACTCTGATATGAATTCCATTTAATAGTTGACATCATTGATCAGTGAATTACAAAGCTTCGGAGTCAAAAAATGAGCTTGAAGAACGAGCATGACATTGATATAGCTGAACAGGTAAGAATGTCGCATGGAAAATGCTTCTCTTCTTCAAACATCTTGGTATACTTCGCAGCCCGTCAACGCCGGTTCAGACGCAAATGCTTCAAAGACATCCTCGGTTACATTGAAGAACAAATTAAGTCCGTTCTTGTACCATGCGTTGCCAACAGCCTGGTCATTAGGCAACGCCTCAGTCAAAACGAACAGGTTGGGTATGGATGAAGATGGCACATAGAAGGATGGGCTGAGGGGTCCTAGATGGAACTTGTCATATCCCAAGTGAGCGACGGAGCTGAACTCTACATGTTCGTCGCCTCCCTTTGGCTTGAAACTACTCGAAGGACTGTCGCTGAACGTAGCGTCATAGGTAATTGCATGCATCGCATTATCGTCGTACTTGCTGAGGGCCTTCGTGACCCTAGTAGCGAGTTTGATTGGATCGGTAGCATTGGCAGGGTTGCTCTGGGCGTCAGGGGAAATCATGACCACGACGAACGGCGAGCCCAGTAGCCCGTCACGTACTCCTAGAAGCCAACGGAAGCTACTCGCCAGGTGTAGATCGATTTGTGGCCGTTGTGCATGACCACGAGCTCGGTTGAGACATGCCCAGAAGAACCCGATTAGCGCTGCCTGGTCGGTCAAGCGCATCGGACTTTTCGACTGCAGGTCTCCGAGTCTATGCTCGACTTCCGTGGCTGGCATATGTAACACATAGTTGTACATGGTTTCGGCTCCCTGGATAGGGCCATTCGGTTGAAGGGCACGGCGATACGGGCCTCGTGTGGGAAGCGCTTGAGCTCTCTTAAGTAGTGTCGAGCCTTGCTCTTTTAGATCAATACCAGTAAGCTGGCTGCTGAAAACTTCCGGTTGCCATGATGGGGGGTTTGGGCCTATCGCGTCTTCGCCATGGAACATTTGTCCATAGAGAATCGACCAGTGCTCCAGTAATCTCCCCGCCGTATAACCATCAGCTAAGCCATGTTCAAAATCGATCCCGAGACTGAAACCACCACAGGAGAACGCTGTGATCTGGATTCGAATGCCCGGGGGACGAGAGCAGGGCGCAGGAAATAGCGTGCGAAGAGACGAGGGCGAGTAATCCCATAAGAATGTAGACTCATTCAAAATGGTAGGTGGAAGCAGGCTGCTGATGCGCGACTTGGTATGCGCCTCAGTAAGTTCTACTGCCTTATCGCTAGGGCTTCCCCATTTGACAATGGTCCGCTGAAGTTCTTTTCCATCCACATCTGGGCTTGTAATTGTTTCCAAAGTCCCAACGAAGCGCGGGAAGATATCAAGTGTTTGAGAAAGACTTTCAGTAAGGCGTTTGATAAGGTCTTGCGGTTTCGTGGATTTTTCAAAGAGATATATGGTAGGTACAGTGCGACGGTAGGCATACCATGCGTCCAAGATAGGCAAGTTGGCAGACTGTGGTGATGTGTTCTGATGGCTCCGAGGCCAGATTTCGTGTACCTTGACGATGTCGACTTTCATGCTGCGTGGAATGAAGTTGCGTAAAACAATGCAGTCAGCCAATGATAAGAAATGTGAGCAAATGTCCCAAGAATAGTCGAAAGGTACCAAGAACATGTGAATGATGGATGTTGGCCCTAGCGCGAAAGGACTAGTCGCTATTCTCCCGTATGTCCCGATGGCGGTCGGGTCTGCCTCTCGCATCGATTGCCATATAGCCCGATTATCCCATGAAAGACCATCAATCTAGTCAATTAAACGTTATTTTAGATTGCAGCTCGTGCTCAGACGACGCGACATGCTAGGAATTTTGTGCATACTTACAATCACCCCGAGTTTCCGCCGGATCACGTGAGTTCGTCATGTACAAACAACAATAACTCGTCATCATGGAATCCGAGATCTTAATCTTTTGGCCGTGATCCCGGATGTTGCAGCAATATTTCTCGAGGCGAATTTGGTAGGTTAGCAATGATTAAGCCGGCGGCGTACATACCTATCTAATCTTTCCGCGCCAGATAGCTTCTAAGAAGATTAGCAATTCATGCATAAGCCTACCTTTTGACCATCTCTCCAACTTCTCTGAAGCCGATAACGAAAATATCCATCACACCATTACAATGCTGTACCAATCAACCAACGGCACTAATGGCATCAATGGTTTCCATGACAGGAACGGCGACAACAACGTTCATGGCACCAATGGTCACCGTTCTGGTGACGTTCAATCCACGAACTCAGATGATATGTCAAACTCGATCGCGATAGTCGGTATCAGCTGCAAATTTGGAGGCGCGGCATCCAATCTTGATGGCCTATGGCACACTCTAGCCAACGGCGAAAGTTGCTGGTCGCCGATTCCCAAGAGCCGCTTCGACGTCTCTAACACATACCACCCGGACCCATTACGGACTGACAGTGTAAGTACCAATCAGAACTCTTTGGATCATAGCTATAGGCTAATCAACTGTTACTTATAGCTCCATGTGAAAGGCGGCTTCTTTATTGACGAAGATCTGACTAAGTTCGATGCGCCTTTCTTCAATCTTACAGCGGACGCGGCCAAGGCCATGGACCCCCAGCTGAGGCTACTTTTGGAAGGTGTATACCAGGCGACCGAAGATGGTAAGCTAGCCATCATTTTCTTGATATGCTGTCTGGCTGGAGCTAATGCAATCATAGCGGGTATACCCACCGAGAAGCTCTCCGGCTCAAACACTTCTGTCTTCTCAGCAAGTTTCGGCAGAGACTATACAGAAATGTTGATGAAAGATGCGGAAGCACTCCCTACGTCTCTAGTCACTGGAAATGGCCCAGCGATGTTCGCAAACAGAGTTTCGCATTTCTACAATCTCAGAGGACCTAGTGTGACTGTGGATACGGGATGTTCGGGTGGTCTAGTAGCCCTGCACATGGGTGTCAACAGCATTCGAAATCGAGAATCGGATGTTTCCATCGTTGGAGCTTCGAACGCGATATTGAATCAGGACTTCTTCATCGCCATCTCGAACCTCGGGTTACTACATGAAGATGGACAATGCTATTCCATGGATCATCGCTGGGGTGGCTACGGCAGGGGCGAGGGAATGGCGGTATTGGTCTTGAAGAAGTTCTCCGCGGCGGTGAAGGACGGCGATCACATTCACGCTGTGATACGCGAATCAGCTGTCAACCAGGACGGCAGAACCGGAACGATAACCTCTCCATCCATGGACGCACAGCGATCGTTGATTCAACAATGTTACAGCCGGGCAGGAATCGATCTCGCATCCACAGGCTACGTGGAGGCTCACCTAACAGGAACCGGAGGCGATGCGATCGAAGCCGAAGCCCTGGCGAGAACTTTTGGAAAGTCGAGAGAGGCTTGCGATCCCGTCTGGGTCGGCTCTGTCAAGAGCAACATTGGACATACCGAACCGGTCAGCGGACTAGCAGCGGTCATTAAAGCAGCTCTCATACTACGCCACAAGCAGATCCCTGCTAATGTTACGTTCGAGAAAGCCAACCCGAATATTCCGCTGCAGGATTGGAAATTACGGGTTCCGACGTCTCTGACCCCGTGGCCTCGAGATAAGCCATTGAGGATATCCGTCAACAATTTTGGTTACGGCGGCACGAATGCACACCTTATCCTCGACGCGCCCCCGGGTCCTGACATACCACACAAACACGCATCCTCAAATGGCAATGGCGAAAGCGTCAACGGCAATGCGGGCAACGGAGTCGATCATCGTCCTCACAGATCCACTGAGGCACCATCTCTGATCTATATATTGAGCACCAGAGATGAAGCCGGTACAGTCAAGAGAAGTAAAGACTTGGCAAAGTACATGCGCAACGCCCTCCACTCTGGAGAGGCTCCATCACCTGATGATCTGGCGTACACGCTGTCTGAGCGCAGATCGAGGTTGCCATGGATAATCGCTGTCAAGGCTCGCAGCCTGGAGCAGCTAGCAGAGATTTTGGAAGACCCGCGCCGGCAGCCAATCCGGGCATCGTCTTCACCGGTCCGAATAGGCTATGTCTTCAATGGCCAAGGAGCTCAATGGTACGCTATGGGTCGCGAACTCATGAGCACATCAGAGGTGTTCAGTTCATCGATCGATCAAGCAGAGACACACTTGCGAGCCTTTGGTGCACTTTGGTCACTGAGAGAAGAGTTATTGCGAGATGCGAGAAGTACCAAGGTTCACGAGGTCGAGCTCAGTCAACCGCTCAGTGTCGTTGTTCAGCTGTGCTTGGTAGACTTGCTGCGGTCTTGGAACATAACCCCATCTGCTGTGGTCAGTCACTCGAGTGGCGAGATAGCGGCAGCCTATGCAGCAGGCGTGCTTTCATTCCAAGAAGCTGTTGGAGTCGTATATCACCGAGGGCGACTTGCCAAGAAGTACCAGAAACTTGCAGCACTCTCTGGCGGCATGATGGCTGTTGGTCTCGGTGTTGAAGAAGTACAGGAGTACCTTAGCGACGTCTCATCCAAGGGTCGAGTGGTAGTTGCTTGCATCAACAGCCCGTCTAGCGTTACGATCTCTGGTGACTTGGACGCCTTGGAAGAAGTAGCAACTCGTTTGGAGGCAGACGATGTTTTCGCGCGAAAGCTGAAGGTGCCATTGGCCTACCACTCACATCATATGGAGTTTATGGCTGAGGAGTATCAAAGTTGCCTGGAAGAGGTTCTCGGACCCATTCAAGAAGGCAGGCTGGATGTCACTTTTGCATCCCCGGTCACGGGCGGCATTATCACTTCGCGTTCAGCATTCTCCGCCGCACACTGGGTACGCAACCTGACCAGTCCTGTTCTGTTCTCTAGCGCATTGGAGTCCATGGTCTTTGGGTCGGCCGAAGTTCACAGCGAACCGCGGACGTTGCCAGCGTCAAGTCGCCAGGTTTCCGTCTTCCTAGAAATTGGTGCGCACGATACCTTGTCCGGCCCAGTCAGACAAACACTGCGCGAGACACGGATTCCATATCTTTCTTGTCTGAAAAGGCCTCTGAACGCGGTCGACACGATGCAAGACGTTGCTTGTGCGTTAGTGGCGCGAGGCTACCCAGTACATCTCGTGGCAGTGAACAAGCGGCGGTCAACCCTCTCACACCAACCAAAGTACGTCTCCAACCTTCCAGAGTACCCATGGAACCATCAAACCGCCTATAAACTTGAGCCTCGGGCTTCCGAAGAGCACAGACTCAAACGCTTCAAGCCTCACGAGTTACTTGGTAGGCTCATTCCCGGTACAAACCCCATCAGTCCAACTTGGCGCAACTTTCTTCGCACAACTGACATTCCTTGGTTGGTCGATCATCAGCTGGAGTCGAGTGTGGTTCTGCCAGGCGCAGGATATGTGTCAATGGCTATTGAAGCGATGCGTCTGTTCAAAGGGAACCATAGCCAAGATGCAGCTGGGTTGCAGTACCACCTGCGAGACGTAGACATTGTCAATGCTCTTATGATCCCGCACACGTCAAGCTCGTCGAGCAGAGGAATAGAGATCCATTTCTCACTTCGCCCCTGCAGCGACAAGGACTTGGACAGCACAGATTGGTACGAATTTGAGTTGTGGTCGGTCAGCGCCAAACATTCCTGGATACAGCACTGCAAGGGCGGCATTTCGGCCAAAGCGGCCAATAGCTCACGTCTATTGGAAACATCCAAAATCATGTCTGGCCTTGAACCTTCCCGGTTGGAGCACACCAAGAATATAGAGCCCGAGACTCTGTATCAGCGTTTGCGAGACTCAGGCTTCCAACACGGTCCAACGTTCCAGAACATCATCAGCAGTCGCGTTGCTGGTGAAAGGTCGGAAACAGAATTCTCTGTTGCTCCAGCGGCCTTTGAACGCGAACAGCAATACGTGATACACCCAACGACACTGGACTCAATTTTCCAGTGCTGCTATGCGACTCTGCCTGTAGATCTTACAAAAGACGCGATGTTTATTCCTCGATCGATACGAAGGGTTACCGTACCTTCGCAGCTCGGTACACATGCAAGCCAAAGGCTGTTCGCAAACTTGAACTGTCTATCATCAAGTCCCAAAGGGTCACTTTTCGAAGGTCTCGTATACGCCGCAGGAGACGATGAATCTGTCGTTGCTGGCGAACCCCAGACAGCCACGTTCGAGATCGAGCAATTCCGTCTCCAACGAGTCACCCAAGCGGCAACGACTGCCCAAGATGCAAAGGCATCGCACCCACCGATTCATTCAAAGAGCCGATGGGAACTTGATATCAATTACACGGTCCCAGATGGTATTAGAGAGTCAATGAAGATCTTCTTGACCCAGCCTGAGCTAGCATTCGCCAGAAACGTCCGCGAAGTCGCTTACCACCATATCGCTAGAGCTCTAGAGCAGCTGGGAGCAAAGGCGGACGATAAGTGGACTTGGTATCACAAGAGATTCTTCGAATGGATGGGTGCAGTCATCCAGGTAGCCGATAATGGTACTCTGATGTCTGGAAGCGACTCGTGGTCCAGGAGAAGCGAGACTTTCATCCAAAGCCTTTGCCTTGAGGTGGCGTCAGCGAATGCGTCTGGAGAAATGGTCCATCGCATTGGAAAACATTTGTGTGACATCATCCAGGGCAAGCTGACACCTTTGGAGCTGATGATGGAAGACGGACTTCTCAATCGCTACTACGAAGAACTACCGCAACTATGCAACGGCTCTTACAAGCACCTCCGAAAAGTGGTTGAGCTCTACTCTGTCGTAGAGCCTGGTGCCAAAGTTATCGAGATTGGTGGCGGAACTGGCGGAGCAACGTCCGTCGCTTTGGATGCTTTCGCTGCCCGATCGGAGGAGGGGCAAGGTGCTACACTACTCGGACACTATGACTTCACAGATATCTCTTCAGGATTTTTCGGTGCTGCGAAGACCAAGTTTGCGGCTTGGGAAGACAAGATGAGCTATTCCAAGCTCGACATAGAGCAAGATCCTTTAGAACAAGGTTTCGCAGCTCAGAGTTACGACCTTGTAGTAGCTTCACATGTGCTACATGCGACAACAAGCTTGAAACGTACGTTATCGCATGTCCGCAAGCTATTACGGCCGGGAGGCCAGCTTGTTCTACTCGAAGGAAACCAAGATTCGCTCGATGTTCAGTTGATCTTCGGGACCGTGGAAAAATGGTGGTTGAGCGAGGAGCCTGAACGCCAAACATGCCCCTACGTCAACCTCAATGTGTGGGATGAGGCTTTGAAAGCAGCGGGCTTTACTGGCATAGAGTTTGAGATAGGAGACTGCGAAGATCCTGAGGTCCAATTTACCAGCACCATCTTGACGCACGCCAAGAACCAGGACCCGTTGTATCCATCCTCGATTTCTCTCGTTGTACCGTCAACTTTGGAGCCGCAGGCCTGGCTAGATCAAGTCGCTAGTACTGTACAACGCGTCACCGGATCGGCGCCCTCAGTGGAGACTTTCGAGGAAGTTGAAGCAAATGATGACCGTCTGCTCATCGTGGCGCTCGACCATCATACACCCTTCATCGACACCATGGACGACAAAGCATTTGAGAAACTTCGGTATCTCTTGCTTCGTTCTAAAGGCATCCTCTGGTTAAGCTTTGGTGGAGCAGTTGACAACGAGGATCCACGCTTTGCTCAGATGGCTGGTCTGTTTAGGACTCTGCGACGCGAAGATCCAAGTAAGCGATATGTTCGATTGGCATGTGAGCGACCACAGCAATCGTGGCCAACAGAAACACTGCAGATGCTGGCGCACGTGTTGCAGCAGAGTTTCGACTATGGCCCATCCGGTAATGCCAACTTGGACTGGGAATATTCTGTGAAAGACCAAGGCCTGTATGTTCCTCGTCTGTATCCAGATCTTGCGCAGGATAGGGCTGCTAGTGGAGGCGACCAACCTCCTTACCTGCAAGACTTCAGCTATTCCAACAAAACACTGAGGCTTCAACGAACACGCAGCGGTGTATCCGGTATCGGATCCTGCTTTGTGGAAACATCCAGCACGGTGGAAGATTTGCCGAGCGGATTGATTGAGATCGAGCCGAAAGCTTTTGGCCTGAACATAGTAGAGGCAATTGAAGACGACGATCCGGCCGCTCATGAAGGCAGCGGTGTCGTTAGAAGGCTTGGTCCAGACACAAAAGATTCCGGCCTATGTGTTGGTGATCGAGTCTGCGGTATCTTTAGAGGCCCCATAAGCAATGTCAGCCGCGCTCACTGGACATGCGTCGTCAAAATTCCCAACGATCTTACTTGGGAGGAAGCTGCATCCGCACCATATGCGTGTTCGACCGCTTGGTTGGCTTTGCGCAATATCGCAAGATTACAGAAGCATGAGCGAGTGCTATTACACTTTGTTACGGCAGGTGTTAATCGAGCTGCTCTTGCCTTGGCGCAGAACATCGGAGCCGAGGTCTTTGTCACTTGCGCAACAGATGAAGAGCGCAATATTCTGCTAAGAGATTACAACGTCTCCAGTAGCCATATCTTGCCTAGCGAAGCCGCTTCTGTTGTTGCTGCTATCATGTCCCAGACCGATGGTCAAGGTGTGGATGTGACGCTGAGCTCTGTCGGCGGGTCATTGCTGAAGGCATGCTGGGAGTGTACTGCCCCATTTGGCCGCTTCATACAACTTGGCAGGGCCGACTTAGAAAAGTCGAAGCACCTTGATATGACGCCGTTTGGCCGTGGGGTCTCCATGACAGGCCTTGATACCCTGCAATACAGCGATATGAGAGGCACGATATTCCACAGGGCATTAGCAGAATCCATTGAGTTGTTGCAGCACGAAAGAGCTAGGCTCGCTACATCAGCCAAAGTCTTCCGGCTGGACGAGGTCGACAAAGCTTTTGAGCATATCCGAGGTGGGAGCCACTTGGGCAGTGCTGTCATTCTTCCACAGCCTGGTGATGAGGTGCATGTCATCCCCAAGACTAAACCTTCGCTTGGCCTCGACTCTCCGGACTCTACCTATCTGATCATTGGAGGTCTTGGAGGTATCGGACTTGCCGCAGCTTATTGGATGATGGAACAGGGGGCCAGAAATTTGATGATAGTCTCCCGCAATGCTGTGGCTCACCCAAAAGGGTTGGCGTTGGCTCAAGAAGGAAGTAAGTACGGTTGCAATGTCTACTTGCGCAACTGTGACATTTCCGATGGAGAGTCCGTCCGTAGTCTCCTGGCGAAAGTGAGGGAAGAGCTACCTCCAATCCGCGGGGTTTTTCAAATCGCCGCAATACTCGACGACACGGTCTTTGAGCGCATGATGTTCGAACAATGGCAGAAAGCTATCGGCCCCAAAGTCACCGGCACCTGGGCCCTTCACCACAACTTGCCAGGCCTGGATTTCTTCATCACGACCTCTTCCGCCACAGGAGTTCTGGGTAACGTGTCACAGAGTAATTATACTGCTGGTGGTACGTTTCAAGATGCATTCGCGCGATACCGCACGTCACTCGGCCTGCCCGCTGTGACAATCGATCTTGGTCCAATCGATGATGTTGGGTACGTCGCACAAGGTGGAGATGCAGTGAAGATGCGCGTGGAGAAGGCCCTTGGCATGAAGTGTTTGCCCATCGCCCATGTATTGCGACTGTTTGAAGATGCAATCAGGAATCCAAACCGACGCCGTACCGAGAACAGCCAGGTCATTACCTGTATTTCTGGGTACCGCAACTTGGTGGATGATCCAGCGGTGAGGAAAGACCGCCGATTGGGAACTCTGCGATTGGGCGATGCCACCGCGACAGAAGCCTCGGTCCATTCACAGTCCGAATCATCGAAGAACATCGATGGCCTGGTGTCTCAGTTGTCGACAGAATCGTTGTCCGAAAGCAGGTCAAAGGAGGTCATCGTGGACCTACTGGTAGCCAAGGTTGCCGAGTTGTTCAATTTGGAGAAGAGTGACATCGACACTGGTGATGCTCTGACAAGCATTGGCGTTGATTCTCTGGTTGCTGTAGATTTTCGGAACTGGTTGGGTAGCGTTGTCAAGGCCAAAGTCAGCATCTTCGAAATCCTCCAGACAGCGTCGCTGGACGAATTTTCTAGTCTGGTAGCAGAGAGAAGGAAATAGGGGAATTTTCGGCTGTATGTGGCTAGATAGAGGATTATGCATTCGGTTTCGTTACAAGCTTCAAGTGGAGCAACCACGCGACGCCCGGCTCTTATTTAATCCGGGCTCCGATAGTCCGATGGCTTCTGATGAAGCTCCGCGCTCCGATGCACGCCATAGGTCAGATGTGTTCAGCTGAACCGCAGGACGGTACTCTCTGCATATGCTATCGTATTAGCCCCAGGGGGATTCGCAGGTTACTTCCGAGCCTAACATAGTCCTGATTCGTGCCTTGAGGTCATTGTTGGTTGAGACGTGTCGCTTATTCCCATGAAACTGTAGGAGCATCATCAATTCACTCACGACATACATATCCCTTGCTTCTCTTGTTCCTCCCATCCCAGACTCTAGCTTTTGATCTACACAACTTAATCTAGAACACTACAACACGAGTTGCGATTGGAGTCATATAGAAGAAAGTCCGCGCGAAAACGCCCCTCATACAACAAGCCTCACATACATCCTCGATCCAGCTAACAGGCCAACCCATCAGCCATGTTTTGTAGGGTTCCTGCTCCTCCTCAACTTTCTCCTTCTAATGAACAGCAGCCCTGAACACAACCGCAACCCTCCACCACGTAACTCACCTCCCGCGGTCGATTTCCTTCGCCAGTGCCGTCTCCCAGCTCCACAACCACGAACTCCTCATCCGTCTCGACCCTGAATATGCTTCTCACGAAACCATCCCCTCGGACCCCTCCACCCCAGCGGCCAAATGCTACAGAATCACCGACCACATGAATGCGCTTCCCGCAGGTCTGTGGGACACAACTGTCAAGTTTGACGCGCATATGACGGATCTGGATGATGGAGTGTTGTGGATCATTAAAGCGCCGCTGGGACTAACGCAACGGACCACTTGGAGGTGCTTGAGGACGGACACTTTGGAGGAGGCAGACAGGGCTGAGGGCGTCGAGGACAGTGAATGGAGTTTAGTGGAGGATGTGGAGATCAAGGCAAATAGGATGTTGGTTGGAACAGTCAAGGGAAAATGCGAGGAAAACTGGCCAGGAGCACATGGCAAGTTTTTGAAGCATTTGATGGCGGAGGGTGGGGAGACGAAGGCATAATGAGGAGTTGGAGCAGCCTTGGAGAGATTAGTTTTACTTGTACAGGTACTGGAGGCGTTCTGAGCTCGCCCCACAGTCATGCGTGACCTGTTCAGTATATAATTCCTACTACAAAGAACGTACTCCAGTTTTGAGCTATGATGCTACAAATGTAGTCGACAGGCCGAAGCCAAAGATTTACGGCACAGTTCTTCGCAAGCCTCGCCCGCCATGCCGGGAACGCGGAGATTCAGACCAACCAACACCTAATCAGGACCGATGGGCCATGTGCCGTTGGGCCTAAAGACGTGTTCTGCCTGGCGCATGGGGCGAGAAGTTCCTAGGCGGAGCCTCTGCATCTAGAAGGCGGGCAGATTGGCGGAATTGGATCCTGGTGGCGGGACGTGAACATCAGCTAGGCGTAAAGAGGATGCTGCTTCTCAACCTGGGGAGTCCCTGCATAAAGCCAACTGCAGCAGCATGGAGAACCGACCCTGAAAGCCGACTGCTGCTCCCTGCATTTCTTGTTGCGCGATGGCGGTTTGCAATACTATATCATGGCCAGAGAAGCAGAGGTTCCTGTCTGCTCACGCGATGCTGTGAGACAGGTCAAGCGACCAATGTCTCTCTTTGGAGGTGCGCTGGTGACCGCCGAGATCTCGCACGTGGCGCCGTTCCAATCGGGCCTTCTGATAGCGACGATAAGACATTGGACGACAGCAGTGGCAGCACATGAAAGCTGCTGCACGTCGCTGCTGCTGGCATCCTTCGCGTCATCTTGTTACACGCTATAGTCAGCTCTCGGTCGACTTGCTAGCTGACGGCTCGAGATCGTTCTTGAACCGAAGGGCTGTTGATCGGCCTGCCTCGCTCGCTCGCCGCATAACACGGGCCATGCTCCCCGCCTTTCGCCTTTCTAGACTGGAACTGCCCCATTCCGCTATCCGCTCAGCTATCAAAAACCGCGCACCCAACCGCCGGGTCGGCGTCAGCTTTCCTGCGTTTGTTCCTTTTTGCTGGTACGGGACTGTTCCCACCTTCTCTGCCTGCCATCTTGCTCCTGCAGTCGTGACGACATCCTGGTCAAGTTCTCGACATTGACAGCACCCTCCTTCCCCGCGCCCAACCATTCATCGTCGAGCACCGCGCACCGCACAGCCACGCCTCGCCATGGAGCCGCTATCCATCGACTCCGTGGTCGTCGACCATGGCGAAGTGAACCCCTCGCCGGGAACTCCTCCTTCGGACGCCATCATGATCGAGCAGCCAAAGATGAAGGGCAGGCAGCGTCTGTTCATGGGCCTACAACGCATGGCGTCTTCCAATAGCCTGGCACACATGGGCAGACCTCGTTCACACAGTCTGAGAAGCGGCGGAAAGGCATCCATGTCTTGCGTCTCCCTCGCATCGCCTGGCTCGCCGTATGGAAACTCGTTCGGCAGTTCCTATTCGTCAGAACTGTCGAATGGTTACTCTACGGCACCAACATCAGTAGCCAACAGCCCGCCCGGCACTCCTTTCTGGGATGAGAGGACCCGCCTACGCATGAAGACACCAGACGTTCCATCCTCAGTACCTCTCCCTTCGGCACGACGACCCTTCACCCGGGATGGCACCGAGGCCGAGAGCGACTACTTCTCGCGGCCTGTACGCAAGGTCCAGAGACGAGTCAACTTCAACTTTTGGGGCGACATGCCCACCGAGATTCGCATGCAGATTCTTAGATATCTCGAACCCAAGGAAATTGTGCGATGTTCGCGCGTCTCCAAATCGTGGCATACCATGTGCTTCGACGGTCAGCTGTGGAGCGATCTCGATACGAGCAACTTTTACCGCGACATCTCAGCCAACGCTCTGGTCAATATCATCACATCGGCGGGTCCGTTTGTCAAGGATTTGAACTTGAGAGGCTGCGTACAACTGAGGGAACACTGGGGCAAGGACGGCTTCATTGAGTCTTGCCAGAACCTGGAGAACTTTTCGTTACAGGGATGCCGGATTGACCGGACGTCTATCCACTGCTTCCTACTTCAAAACAGCCGCCTCGTTCACGTCAATCTCTCGGGTCTCGCAGGCGCAACAAATGCAGCGATGAAGATCCTGGCCGCACACTGCCCAAGAGTCGAAGTCTTGAACATCTCATGGTGTAACAACATCGACAACCGTGGGCTGAAAAAGGTTGTCGAGGGTTGTAAAAAGTTGCGAGACATCAGAGCTGGTGAAGTACGAGGCTGGGACGACGTCGACCTGATGGTGGAGTTGTTCAAGCGAAACACTCTAGAAAGGCTCGACCTCAAGAACTGCGACAGTCTCAATGATGAAGCGCTGGCTGCTTTGATCGAGGGCGTAGACGAAGAGGTCGACGTCCTTACCGATCGGCCAATCGTCCCACCCAGAAATCTCAAGCACTTGAACCTTACTCGTTGCCGCAGTATCACCGATACCGGCCTGAAGACGTTAGTACACAACGTCCCATATCTCGAAGGCCTCCAAGTCTCGAAATGCGGCGGACTCACCGATGATGCGTTAATGAGCTTACTGCCTACTGTGCCAGTTCTTACGCATCTAGATGTTGAAGAGATCGACGGATTGACCAACGAAGTCCTGAAGACACTCGCTGAAGCTCCATGCGCCCCTCATCTGCGACACCTCTGCATCTCCTACTGCGAAAATCTAGGGGATGCGGGCATGCTCCCCATACTGAAAGCCTGCACCCGTCTCGCATCACTTGACATGGATAACACACGCATCTCCGACCTCGTCCTCGCAGAAGCCGCATCAGGCCTCCGCAACCGCAACCGCGCCGCTCGTGGCTTAACCAACTCAGAGCGCCCAGAGGTTGGTCTTCGCATCGAAGCATATGACTGCGCAAATGTAACATGGACCGGTGTTCGCGAAGTCCTATCTCGAAATGCAGAGATCACACGTCCTTCTTCGCGCTCTGCGAGCAAAGTCGCGACGTATCCACGTGAGATTATCAAGCTCAAGTGCTTCCATAACTGGCAACCTACGGTGGAGGAACATACCAAGCGTGTCTTGAGGGGTGATTTCGCAGCCGCCGCGCGTTTGGAACGCAAGTGGGCCGATTGGATGATGCTAAATGAGGAAGCAGGTGTTGGTGGTGCTGGAGCCAGGCGGCGGAGAAGAAGAGCGAGGGAAGCGCAGATGATGCATGCGGATGAGGAGGAAGGCGGTGCTGGTGCTACTGGCGGTGTCGGCCGCCGCCGCCGTGCGCGAAGTGGTCCAGGTGGCTGCACTGTGATGTGAATGTGTTTTTTGGTATCTACAGCGGCGGGGTCATATGGCGTCTTCTTCTTGGGATAGAAGTTGGCCCCAGGTTTGTGGGTTGATGCAGCAATGTTGCATATGGCTCGAATACGTTGCACAATGATCCGATGCTCCTCCCCTTGGGTGAGTATGAGCGTTGGAAATAGTCCTGATATTAGCATGGGTATCTGGAGTTGTGGAGCGGCTACTCTTCTACTGTTCATAGATCTCTACATGTTGCATGTTACATAGTTATGCATCCATCTTCATTCACTCTCAGTCAAGAAGTCCTATTTTGTAATCTTGAGTCGAAGCATGCTGCAGCTCGCGGCCCTACATCAAAATGTTTGTTTGCACGTGAGCGCGCGACTAGCTCGAGTTAGCGGCGCGTTTGCTCTGCATTACATCATCTTCGAACAATCGCTCATTCAACTTCGACATATCATTGCGAAAGAGCAAGGCTTTCATTTCTGCTGGTAACAGTCTCACATCAGCCGAAAAGGAAACATGGATGATCAATGGGGAATTTCCAAGACTAACCTTGAGGTTTTTCGCATCGCGGGTCTACCACCAGACTTCTACTACATTCCAAATTTCATCAGCGCGGAAGAAGAATCGTCAATAGTGCAGAAGGTGCGTTTTCCTCTTCGCTCTTATTCCCAATTCTTTTTCCTATTCTCCAACGCACGAGATTGCAGACACAAAGTTTGCAGTTCTACTATTAACTACCCCGCCCTGTTCGCTCCCTCACAACAGCCCATGGAACAATCAACACACCTAAACATCTTCACTACACTACCCTTGAAAACCATAATTATGCAACTAATATCCCTAGATTCCAGCTCAGAGATGGACACACCTCACTCATCGGCGTCTCCAGGCTCTGCCCTCCACCCTCACTAAAAACAATACCTTGCTCGCCGCCCCTTTACCCGCTTACCTTACCAACCCCATCCTATCTCGTTTTAAGGACCTAGGAATCTTTGACCACACACCGCACGGCCAGTCAAACCATGTTCTCGTCAACGAGTATAGACCCGGTGAAGGCATCATGCCGCACGAAGACGGAGATGCGTATGCCCATGTCGTTGCGACTGTCAGTTTAGGTGCGGGGTTGTGCTTGGACGTGCTTCCTAAACCAGAATCTTCCTTTAATAAAGAAGGACAGCAGGATGGGGGTAATGAGGGGCAAGGAGATGGGAAGAAGGATAGGAACGAGAGGCAGGAGATCGAGCAATCTTCACCTACTAGAAACGAGGACAACCAGCAAGAGAAAATGTTGCACCTACCTACACGTATTTTTCAGGAACCCCGCTCCTTGCTCATCACGACGGGTCGTGCGTACCGAGAGTTGATGCATGGTATTTCGTCAATTGAGGTTGATGAGGAGTTGAGTGAGGGAACGGTGGCGAATTGGGGATTATTGAGTCAGGAAGGAAAAGATGCGATTGCTAGGGATGGTGGCAGTAATCTCAGAGGTACGAGAGTGAGCCTGACATATAGGGATGTAATCAAGGTTAGTACAGCAGCGAGTAGAGTGTTGGGTATGGGGAGGCGGTGATACTGAGAATATTGTCATCATGCAATGACAATGGAATGGCAAAAGCGGAGTTCGTGTTTCAGAATACTTGCAATCGAGTCATCACGAGACCGGAATGGACATAGCTTGTTGAGGTGCAAAACATGATTGGTATACTTCGCTCAAACGGACAAACAAAGGAAATTACCTGCGCCTAATCATGTACATCGCTCTTCGTTTTCGGTACACTACTCCAGACACCAGAATCAGAAATCGCGTTTCTGCCTACACAGCTCACGCCTGCTGTTCCTTAGCAGGCCTATAGTGCCCATTCAGATCCGTGTCACTCCCATCACTCCTGCTGTTATCGCTCTGCCTCCTCTCGCCGGTAAGCTTTTCGGGCCTCTGCTGCTCCGCCAACTTCGCTGCCTTCTTCCTCCTCATCTCGCCCCAGATCGCCGCAGCAACCCAGGTAACCCACATAACACCAGCAACAACGCCGTAAGCAATCTCACCATCAGGCGAGTTACCCGCAAGCAGTAGGCCAAGCCCACCGTTGATGATACCGAGAGTAATCGCGATGCGACCAACCCAGATATGAGCGTAGGACCAGAGAGTGCGGTGACTGTACTTCTTGAAGAGGACGTGGTGCATCCAGCCTAAGATCGGTTGGAAGAAGATGAGCGCGAAGACGACCATGCCGATGATGGCATGGTAACTGTCAATGTAGTGACCGCCACTGACTGGTAGAGCGAGCCAGATACCTAGACCAAATGCAGCAGTGTATGTCATGTAAGCGAAGATCTGGAACAAGGCGTGAAACCAGAGGACGCTGGGGAAGGAAGCGAGACGGATGGCGATGGATCCTGCAGGGAAGAGGATGACGAACGCGAGAGAGGCGAGGACACCGTGAGCGATGAGGTGTTTCTTCGTGTTGGGTTCGCTGGAGGAGATGGTTGTGACACCAGAGTTGGCGCCGCCGTTGTTGGGAAGCGTATCGCAGTAGGGGAGTGAGGAGTCGTCGGATTGACGTTTATCCCATGGTGCGCCGGTAGGCCAGGATGTTGGGCGCGCGGTAGGTCGGCCAGTCCACCAGTCGTCATCGTCGTAGGAGGCAGTCTTGCTGGGTTTGGCTGATGATTCTGATTCTGATCCTGATGCTGTTGCTGCGGCGCCAGAAGGGCGTTGGCGGCAATTGGTCGGAGTTGCGCCTGATCCGCCGGTGGTACCGGAGGGGGAGGTGTTGAGAAGGGGGTTTACACTTGAGCCTCCCTTAGCGGCAGCGAACTCCCAATTGAAGACGCCTTCGCTACTGTGCTGGCGGATAGATGCAGACGTAGAGTCATCGTTCTTGGGACCCCCTGAGGATTGGTAGGCGTAGATGAAGTTGCCGCTGTTGGAGGTAAAGTCCATGGTGCCGCCGGACCAGCTGTTACAGTTGGAACCTGGATTACATGTCAATGGATGTTCGGATTGTATGAAGGAGTATAATACTCACATCTCACGTTGGCAGTCATGACACCATTCGAGACACCAGAGCCTTCAAGTAGCGTGACTTGCGCAGCATCATTAGGGCTAGGAGCGCTATAGCTGCTTGTCGTTCGTGGCGATAATGTCACGTTATTGCCGTCTGCTGAAGTGTATACAACAAACATGTTGGAATTGGCCATGCCACTACCCTGACCGAGCGCAACCCACTCATAGCTGCTCGGTGCAGATATCGAGAAAAAGATCTCTCCAGCATCGGAGGATGCTGCTGTTGCTTCGGGGATGTTGAGCCCAAAGGTTACACCGTCCGAGGGACTGGTATTGGCAACTTGGGCTGAGGCACGATAGGCTAGATATGGTTAGTGCTGTAGTACAACTCGGCTGTGGCAATAGGCTTACCCAAAGCCAACAGGCCTACAGCAGACGTCTTAGTATTGCGTCTCATTTTTGATGGCCCTGAAGAACGTTGAAAGGAAACTGAAGTAAGAGATGTCAAAGGGCTCGACGCTTCGAGGCTAGTGACGCCCGGCTGAAGTGGCTTGAGAGGCGTCCCTAAAGCAAGGTAGATGACAAAGCTATTGATTTGGCCTAAGGGTAGGAGAGCCAACGAACCAATGAGACAAGATGTTTTGAACTTGAGTAAGTGATGTTCTGTCAGATATTTCTTGGTGGATGTGGACAAAGAGGTTTATAGATGGTGGAGACCGGATCGTCCGCCTTCCAAGAGTACCATCCAAGGCCCAAGACAGATGCTGACAGAAGCATGGTCTACGTACACACACTTGGCCTAGTTTGGTGAGTAGGTATCTGTAGGCACAGTTGAACCAGCGGTATTACTGCTGATGCGTGGTTGGGCAATGCTGGCCGAATGCGGCGGCTTTGCGGAGACCCGTCACCGGCTGGGCAGACCGCAAACAACCTCAGGACATGACAACACAACTTGTGCAAGAGGTACGCGTCACAGACGCCATGAGGCGCGAACAGTGAGATACCCGAGCGAGCATGGTTGCAGGCTTATCGTGATACCAGTGAGGGCTGGCGGACTTAACGGCGGCGCGGCTTGGCCTTACGCGTAGAGGTGGCTATGTGCAGGGACAAAGAAGTAACTCGCACCCGGGCGAATAGCACGTCGCGTATTTTGCAAAAGTAATGTCCCGATGCTGGGGCACGCTGGCGAAGGCGGGCATGTTGGTTCGCGTGCGGGTGATGAACGTGTGAGTTAGTAGCGAAGCCCTGGGAGGACGGACTTGGTACTCTTTGCCGTTGTGGGTCCCTGCTCATGGATGTGCCGCACGTTTCATCGTCGAAGCCGCAACTTGGTGCCTCTCAACACTCCCACTCCGCACTCCAAGACATGTCAGCAATCTGCATTCAGATCCAGACCTCGATGCCTTCGTGCTCATCGATCTGGACAGCCTTCTACAAGACCTTGGACTCAGGGCAGTCCTTGAAATTGCCTACCCCTATCGTTCGTTCAAATTACTCCTAGACTACTGCGAGATTCGGCTATTTCCACATATTACGGTCTATTGTGCCCGGTGCTATAGCTACTATTATCGAGTTGGTTCCTGCTTGGATTACTCTGCAGTGCATCTGCAGCTGCATTTTCCGGTTTCACGTGGCGCTGCATCTGTCTCGATAGGCGCAGTGGTGGCTTGCAGCCTCAGCCCTGCCCGACCGCGTCAGCTATGACAGAAGCCTTGGAATCAAGGAAGTAAATCAACACCATCGGCGTTTCCTGGAGAGAATCACCGAGGTATCACGATGCCAAGCTGACTGCATCCTCTCAGCATACGTAGACGAAATGTTATCGATATCTCATCGACATGACTGGATTGCGTTTTGTTGATGCAATCAGCAAGCTTGACATTGAGTTGTGGCACCAAAGGTGAGCGCCCCGATCTTACACAGCAAGTGTTTCACGTTCGCGCACTTTGCTTTCTGACTGTGTTTTGTGCAATTGTGCATGATTTTGTTTTCTCGTATGATTCACGATGTTTTCGCCGTTCAGCTCGACTTGGTGATTTTCTGCAGACCGACAAAGGCCCTTTTTTCACCGGCTGGGCAGTAGTATCATTAATCACGTGCTGCCATCTTGCACTGCCTCTTCCAAGTTTCTTGGAGAAATTGACTTCCGAAACCATCTCAAACTACAATATACCATACGGAAAGGCCCGAGGAAAACCTGGGGTAATTACTAAGGATGAATTATCCGGTGGTAGGAATATGTAATAGTGTGCGATTCAACATGGTTGGCTGGCTGCGCCACGACTCTAGAGCCACTTCACGACAATAGACACGGACAAAACTACATAATGGGTACGGCCGTAGTGGAGTCAAGCTGCCTTTAGCCGCGATCGACGCAAACGAGGTTCAACACCATGTCCAGTATCATCGTGGTCTCTGATCCTCCGCACTTCGATCCCGAGGTCGGCTCGACGGTGCTTCTCTGTACGCGAGGTCCGTATTCGACGTATTCAATCAACAGGTACTCCACCTTCTTCTTATGAACAGCTATCCGTACCACGTGGATCCATGGAGAGGCGAAGGCATTACGCGGTTCGATCGAGCGGCTCTTGCTTTGGGCAGCGATACGACGATTGCAAGAGGAAGTCATCCCCAGTTGGACTTGATAACCCGATGACCACAACCTTCCACTCTAGGACGACGGGTATTAGCTAGCGTAAACTCCGAAGAGGGAGGAAAAGCTAGAAGACGGACTTAGGAGAATCGGAGAGTGGATATGCGACGACATGAGGAAGGTGAACAAGACACAATGCTCAAACAACGACAGGAGCAGGATATCTCATTACCTTTGCTCAAACTATTTTAGCTCGACTGAATAGTCTGCAATGCACATTTCGATACTCCAGGACAGCTTCAGACTTTGGTATATCCAGTTCTATGGCAACTAAGTCGCAATAGCACCAGATACAGAAGCGTAAGGGTACCAAACTTCGTGTTCAGGTTGCAGGTGGCGAGATCATTTTCCTCAGTATTGAGTAGCTGTAGCGTTTCAGTTGCACTCTCTGGCTAAATCTGAACCTCACCGTTAAGATCGCAGTCCAGCCACGTCACAGAGCCAGCACCCGATTCAAAGAGCTCGAGCCCGTCTTCCCGTAGAGCAGAAAGTGCACAATACACTGACGACTTCGAGTCTAGTGAAGAATACTGGGAACTACGCTGCGCGGCATGAAATTAGAAGATGTACACTCGCATGGGCTTCAACAGTGCGAGGAACCGAGGAATCAGACACGTGGATCATGTTGCGCGCACGTCCAAGTATATCTCATTGCGTGATTGGTGGCATTTCAGTAAGCAGTGTTGAATTGTTAGGACAGTAGTATCGTAAGACAGCCGCAACGATAAAAAGAAGGGATGCGGATTCAGAGAAGTAAGCGTCATGATTCTCGTCTTCTTGAACTGTGTACCTGGGCAGGTTGAGAGGAAAGTATAAGATGCATGCACTTTAGTTTGGAGGATGCTGTGTATGATTAGGAGCTCATATAGAACCTGGCAGAGTGCGATATCTCGCTCGCACGTGTGCTCATACATGAAGCATAACTAGTGTTCCATCTCATCAACATCATCATCGCCACCAGCCTCATCATACTCAACTTCGGCTGTGTCGCCCTCCTCATAGCCTCCCCCCTCGCCATCTTCGTCTTCGCTGTCAGAGCCTGAACCCTCACTCTCGCCCTCACTTCCCGGATCAAAGTCATCGTCCTCTTCTTCATCGTCTTCCTGGTCCTGTAACTCCCTCTCGGCCTTCTGCAGCTCGCTCTCCTCTTCCTCACCAGCAGCCTCCTCTACTGCCGCTCCGTTCTCCTTCTTGCCGCCCACCTTGTTTACGTTAAGCTTCTTTGCGCGTCTGTCCGCAGCCAGACTAGCATCCTGCAGTCCGTGTTTCTGGACGTATTCATTTATGCCGGCAAAGTCTTGTTGATCGAGCATGCCAAATTCGATGTCGCCTGTTGGTGTGGTGAAGACGATGTTGAAGGTGTTGCGCAGGACGGCGGTGTAGGATATGCTGTTTATAGCGGCGAAGTCGAAGAATGCGAGAGGCTTCTTGAAGCCGTAGAGGATACCTACCGAGGTGAAGAACAGGTAGCCTAGAGCATGTTAGCAGAAGTTCTGTGTCGTGATTTTCGTGTGTATGACGCACCTTCCTTGCTTCCCCTATGTGCCTTGACGTGGTATGCCTTCTCACCCTTCCTGTGACTTTCTGGTACGGCGCTGGCGAATTCGTCGGCATCTGGGAAGACAACTTCTTTTCCTGTCCCAGCTTGTATCAGGCAATGATGAATCGCCTCAGCCATCGGTCCTGGTCCTGGATCTTCGCCTTCGACTATGTTCTTGCCTGTCGCCTCCTCGAACGTCCATACTATGGGCTCTGGTGGTGATGCCTTTAATTCGTCTGGCACGGGCGCCACTCCATCGCCGTGTAGTGGTATGACGATGAAATGGTGCTGCTTCTTGGCCTTCTCGGGTATAGGCAAACAGAAGACCTGGTCGACGTCTTTCCACGCAATGGCAAATTCGACGTTGCCATTGGCGCCTATGGCTCTTATGCCGCCATCCTTCTTGTCGAGCAGTTCGAGAGTGAACTTCTTTCGCTGGGGTATGGCGACGCTGACGGCTGGGTATGTCTTGAATGCTTTCGTCGCAGTACTTGTGAGACTACCTCCTGACGCTGATGCGCCGTTCTGCGGGGGGTTGCTCTCTTCGATCTTGCGTTTCTTTGTTGCTGGCTCGGCAGCAGGTTGCGAAGTTTGATTAAGAATGTAAGTCGAAATGTCGCGGAAAAGAGTACTTTGCGCGGGGTTCTGGTCTGAGAGGAAATCAGTAATAGTCGGGAGTCGAATAGAGACCACATACCTATCGCGGCGTGTACGCGCTTCCGCAGCTCATGGTTGCTAGCGAAAGCGACATCAATTTCCTGTGGATGCGGTGCGAGAGTCGGGGCAGCTGGCGCGGGTACAGGCGCAGGCGCAGGCGCAGGCGGAGTTTGCACGGGTACTATGGGTGCCGATGGCTTGTTGTTGAGCGCTGTAAAGGCCATGGCGTGTGGTTAAGGGGATTGCGTGTTGTTGGCCGACATGCCTTGCCAACGCGTCGAATCGCGACTCCTCGACAGTTAGCGCTCGGGCATGTCTGACATCACCACCGCCTTTCACCCGCCATCACCACACTCTTGTTGTCGACATATCATATCTACGTCCACAACGCGCGCCTATATCCTGTCGTGTCTTGTCACTAATTCAAACACTTTTTTTTTTAACCCCCATGGTATGCCACGGCACCCACCACGTCATGTCATGACATGCCCATTGGCAAAGCTCCATTAGACTTCCCGCTGTCATATACATGACGCGCCATCTGATCTATCCGGCGATTACTATATTGGCCCATCATAGTAAGAGCGACACGCGTCCTCTCGATGCAAGCCATCCTGCGGGGGATCTACACTCCATCGCGCCGTGTCCCATGCAGCACATTAGTCTATCAGCAATGATATGTGATCAAATAATGCCTCAGGCGCTTTCGGACTACGCGAACACCCAAGAAAGTTCTCTAACGCTTATCAGAGTGCGTTATTGCGACGCGGGAGAACCATCATCGGTGCAGTGGGCGGGTCGTGCGCGTTGCGCATCTCTCACACTTCCTGTCGCGACACATGCTAACAGCCAATACACGATGACCAGACCGTTTGACACCTGTCAGTCGCATTGCGATTCATCCAGAACAAGCCGGAGATGTACTCGACCGTTCAAGCAAGTCCTTGCTAGGTACCACCAAGGACCCTTCCAGCATTGACAGAACGATAAATCTCTCAGCAGAGATTATAGGTAAAGTAATCACAGTGTGGGCGACTATCCAAGCATGCAACTCTTGGGACGAATGCCTCGGCGGTGACCAGATGCTATGTAACTCTACCATGTCTCGTTGCCATCAGTTAGTCCACGTATAATTCTTCCATCCATAGCTCGCTCATATCCTATCATTACCCAGCCGGGAAAGGTAGAGATAATACCACAACCAATATGACGAAAGTCAACTTTACCCTCCCACCGGCAGCCGACAAAGTCACATCGCTCTTCCATTCCAAGAAACATGTCCCACCAGTTTTCAATCAGCCACTCAATACTAGTTCATGCCCGCATCATCGTATTGCAAGGCTATTGTACAGCGTCTTCCTTTCCTTGTTACTCATAATCGCCATCCCAGTCATCACGCTCAAGGCGTTGACCTATAGCTTCATCGAAGACAACCGTCGGACGGGATTCACCTTCCAAACTACAAGAAAAGATGGCGAGCCAGGCGACGCCATCATCATGGCCGCTCTACCGAGGATGCTCTACGCAATACCAGCCAAGTTGGCCATTATCGCTGCTACCCTTAGTATATGTCTGGCTGCAGCGCACATCGGACTCGTAGTCACGGACTGGAAAATGGGCAAGCGGGTACGCACAGTTGCCATATAGTAGAGGTGTTTAATGCTAATGACTCGATAGACACAATCATACGCCTTCCGTCGCAACATAATGTTCCTGCACATCACCAACGCCATTCTCGTTCTCTTCGCTCTAGTCTCCATCTTCGTCACCCACAAAAACACCTCGCATTTCCGCGAGGGCTTCGTCAATTTCCGCGCTTCTCGCATGAACGATACAGCTGCAACCCAAGAGACCTTCTTTCGCTACAACTTTGGTACTTTCGATCTCGAGACTTGGGCGTGCGAACTGCAAGATGTTGGAGGTGCTGCCATGGTGCGAGAGGATTACAGTAAGCAATGCGCAGTTGAGGTTGCCGGTCGTGCCGTCATGGTGCCTTTTATGGTCATTGCTTGGGCTGTGGCTGCAGTCGGCCTTTGGGGCTTTGTGGGAGGCGGACGCAGAGGGCCGGATGGTGAGCGTATGAAGACTGAGGAAGTCGGCCTTGAAATGGGTAAGATGAATGCTACGGACGACTGAGCTGTTTGCCGTTGCGAAATTTCCTTCTCGGCATGTCTGGTGTTTGGTAATGGTCTCTTTGCGTCTTTACTGCTAATGTCGTTTCTTCGTCTCGTTACTTCGCCCTCACACGACAGCGATGATACCCTTAGTTACTACTGCTTTTCACATGCAGCCTTTTTGCTGGTCAAATTTGCAGTCTCCTTTGCTTTTCCCAAGTCAAACGTCGCCAAGTGCTGGGGCGTTTCATATTACTTTTATCGCAAAGCATAATGTCAAGTTCAATATACATCAGCTTTTTATCTCATTGTTGCTGTGTCTGAACCACTTCTCTTTCTGATGCGTTCGCTCTATGAGACAATAGCGATAAGTGATCATCATAGAGTTGTCGACAACAGTGGTCTGGTTTTGCACTGCGGTTTTCAAGGTGGGTGGGCGAAACACGTTCCCCTCCAACACACCACGGCGATCACGATCATGCCCTGAAGACGGATACACGACAAACAAGATTGTTTGGATTTGGATATCGATATCAAGAATAAGTCGACATTATCCCATACCCTTTCCCACCCATCACCACTGACAGTGCGAATGGGAAATACAGTTCCAGCTCTCACCAATAACAGAAAGCTGGGAATCGTAAATGTAAGCGAGCTCGTCCCATCCACATTCTCCCCAAACTAGCCCTCCAAACCATTCCCCAATAAGCGGATTTGTCCTGCACCCTCACCATACACGCACGCACACACAAAAGGCAACTCAGCCCATCGTCACCCTCGAGTGAGAAGCGAGCGAACCATAGCTACTAGGAGAAAACACCGGAGCCACCGTTGGAACAGCAAGACTCGGCACTTCTGGTGTCGCTTGGAGCGTTACGTCTCGTTTCATGGTTTGGTACACAGTCTTGATGCGAAGGGTGGGTTGCGTCGTGGGTGCGGCCTCACCACCAGCATCGTACACGGTCTTAATGCGAAGAGCTGCCTGGGTGGTAGGTATGGCTCCGCCACCAGAAGCGATCGATGCACCAGTTGCAGAAATGCCCGGTGTGTGTGTCTGCTTCATCCTGCCCTTGACGGTCGTCGTCCTAGATGTGACGCCCTTATCGAAGCACGAGATGCCGTGTTGACCTGCTTTACCATTTCCACCGCAGAAACACTTCTGTCGCCCATTCTGGCGATTGTGTTCCTCTTCAAATTTCTTCATGTTCTCGTCTTTTTCGGGAGTGGGTTCCTTGTCTTTTGCTGTCTCGCCACCTGAGGTTTTGCCGTCTCGGCCTTTGTCGTCTGCAGTCGTGCCATTTTGAGGTTCATGGTCTTGAATGAAGTCCGCGTATTCGTCCTCGTCTTCACCGACCTCTTCTTCCTCCTCGTATTCGTCCTCATCTGAAATCTCGTCCTCATCAGGGTACTCGCAGATGTCATGCGCTGATTGCTCAAAACACCAGTCATCACCCGCATAGCAGCCGTGTTCGCTGACTCGGACGGATGAGTCAACGCTGTATTCATAGTTCTGCTCGTGGATCACGTAAACGGTGTCGACGATGCAGTATGGTCCGTTGCACTCGCCCTGCCGCGTTATGTTCTTGGGAGTGTTCTTGGGGTACCGTGTTTCGTGAGCGACGAGTTCAGATGTAGCTTGGACGATGGGCTCTCGGGTGGGTGTTGGGGTGCAAGAGTTGGGTGTAGATGAAGCTGATGAACTTGTCTCTGGCGGATCGCTGAGCTGCGGTTGCCCTAGTGGGTGAGACTTGTGCGATTTGGGCTCGCAGCCTCCATTCCAACCCTCCTTCATGTGCTTCGCTGGCTTCTCCTCTTCATCAAGTCTCAGTAACGCCTTCCAACTGGCGCCCAACTTGTCGCAGCTTTTGCACTTCTTCCCGTAGTTGTCAAAGTTATACAGCCCGCCGTCCTTGATAAACTTCTTTGTGTATGCGAAGGTCCAGTTGGTAGGTTGATCCCAGGATGTTGCATCTGTCGAGTTGGGACCATCTCATTGGCAAGGAGCGTTGCTGTTCTTCGTGCTGTTCACGTCGGAGATTGCCTCGCCTAGCCAGCTGTGACATATCGGAATGTCAAAGCCATCAGGAACGTTGCCGTAATCCGTCAGATGTGGTATTGCTCCTGAGGCAAGATCATTCGTGGGATTTAACTCAGATGGGCTTGTGGCGTTCACCCCTTCAGCATATACCTCTGGTGGTTCAGGAGCTGTAGGCTCGTCGCGGCATCCGAGTTCCTCTTGCTTGTCACGATGCGGGTACCATACCTCCCCTCGCCAAAGCGCGGATCTAACTACGTCAGTCTCGTAGAGACCATGAAATCCCTCTTCGCTTGTGAGGAATTCCCATCCTGGAGGACTTCGTGTCTTCTTATCGTCGTAGTTGGACATTGCGTAAGTCCAGTATGATCTGTTGGGACGTTCTTCAAGGCACACTTTGTTGGACCTTGGTCCCCGGTTGTCTTGGTCGCAGTTTTGACCAGAATGAGTAAGACTCTCAACGATGTATACGCCCTCAGTTTTCCTGTCAAAATTAGCCACTACTCACAAGATGTGGTTGGAAATGCAGCACATACCAAAGGGCGCTTATTATGGTAGCGTAGGACTTCATCCCAATTACATATTGAATCCAGGCCCGAAAGTAAACGTTGGCACCAAAGAAAAAGTCTTTTTCGAATAGATCGACGATGTTATGACCATTGTGCGTTTCGTAGCCCAAGGAAAGGAGTGCCATCCCTTCCAGCACTTCGTCAACTGCAAAGGTGTCGAGCTCAACCAAAGCCGCACGTACAGAATCCAGAGTCTTTTCGAACCCGTGGCTGTGTATCACTAGCGTTTCTTCTCGGACATGTATATCGGCTCTGACTTACAGATCTTTCTTGTGGTTGATCTCTTTGACCACTTCCTTGGTCAAACCTTGCATACCTAGCCAACCTCCGCTGGTAATTGTCCACAGCTCTATCCCGTGTTAGACAAATGCTTCGCACTTGCGATCAAAACTTACTCTGTGAGTTTTCGATTGACTTTTCGCGAAGTAGGCCATCGCCGGGTTTCCTGCGGCTCGCAAATTTTGCAAGCCTGCTAGCGTTTGGGAATTTGTTACTCATCGCACTAAGACCCCGCTGCCATTTATTGGCAAGACTTTGTGCTCTAGGGAACTTGTTGAACATAGCTGTAAGAGTTCCTGGCCTATAATTCAGGATGTTGGCAGCCGTGGTAAACAGTTGGAAGACAGCCGTGATGATGCTAAAAGCCAGTTCCATTTGTTGTATGCGTTTCTGCTTTTTCTCCTCCTTCTTGACTGCTGCATCCTGCTGCTCATCTGCATATGTGAACATTGCTGTGAGCCGATCCAAGCCCTCGACGATGTGCCTGTAGTGGTCTTGGGTCGCTTCACTCCTGATGTGAAATGAATGGTCGAGTCCAGAAACAGATTCGAAGAACAACATGGCTGCCCGTCTTTCATCGGCAGTGTTGTTCATACCAATATCATTGCAACTTGGGGACTAATAGTGCCATTAGCGCACGTAGACTTCGAAGCCAAAGTAGAATACTCACTCTGCACATGCCGAGGCCATCGCAGAGCATGCTACTAGGTGGCACACTGGGGGCGTATCGCTTTGCCATATATGCAGGAAACGTCAACTCGTCGAAAGCAAGCTTATATTTGCTAGCCTGTAGTCTCTTGTAGGTTCGGAAGTGTTTCCTCAAAAACTTCGCGTCGACGTGCCTATGTCTTCTCCAAAGCTCTTCGGTGATCCTGGGAAGGCCTGGACAACCACTTATCCATTCATGTGCACCCTGATCTTCATTGAAGTTACAATAAGGATTGTGTGCACAATCCAGGTTATCGCGGTCCGCCTGTGAGAATTCGAGTCCCTGTGAAGTGAGATTCGACCAAGCGACGCTCGTAGATGCATTGACGACATCGAAGATGTGAAAGGTGGCTTGTATCCACGCAAAGAGTCGCATGATAGAAAGCT